AGCTCATATTCCAGGAGCATGCAATCAGATAGCAGATGCTCTTTCCAGGGATCAAATACATCCAGGAGAATGGAGGCTCCATCCAGAGGTAGTGCAGGAGATCTGGCTACGATTTGGAAGAGCAGAAGTGGATCTTTTTGCTTCAGAGATGACCACCCACTGTCGCTTATGGTTCGCAAGGACAGAAGTGTCCAGCCCCCTGGGCCAGGATGCGCTGTCTCACGAATGGCCGAACTGCCTGCTCTATGCGTTTCCACCTATCCCTCTGTTATGGGAGACGTTGCACAGGATCTCCTTGTACAAGCACAGAGTGTTGCTCGTGGCACCACGTTGGCCAGCCAGGCCGTGGTTTCCTTTATTGCTGAGACTTCTGAAAGGCAATCCATGGAAGCTCCCCCCCAGGAAGGACCTCCTCTCTCAGCTGGAGGCCAGTGTCTGGCACCCGGACCCGACTCATCTGCAGCTTTGAAACGAGTCAGTGAGTTGCACGCATTGTCTGTTAGTGAACCGTGCTTGCGTTGGTTACCGGATGACTCCGGGGTGGTTCTGCGACCCAATCCTTCTTTTCTTCCGAAGGTCCTTCTTCCTCAGTTCATAAATCAGCACATTGAACTGGCCTCTTTTCAGACTTATTCTGGGTCTGACTCAAGTGCCCAACTTTTGTGTCCTGTTCGGGCATTGAAGTGTTATGTGAACTCTACTGTTCAACTTAGACAGTCAGACCAGTTATTTGTCTGCTATGGTGGTGTGAAGAAAGGTGCTCCAGTGTCGAAGCAGAGATTGTCGAACTGGATAGTAGAGACCATTACGCTGGCTTACAAGGCAGCAGGGAGACCACTGCCCTGGAAACTAACTTGTCATTCCACTAGGGCCATTTCATCTTCATGGGCTGTTTTTAGAGGAGTTTCCCTGGTGGACATCTGCACTGCCGCTACCTGGGCTACTCCATGCACGTTTGCCCGGTTCTATAAGGTCAACATCGCTGCTCATCATGCCGTTAGTTCTGCGGTTCTTCTGGAGCAGCCTTGATTCATCAGGTGGGTGGCATTCCTCATGACTATGTTGGTATGTGTCATCCATAGTGTTTACACTGCCTCTGGCGGTCAGTAAGAATGAAACAGAACGCTAGTTACGCATGTAACTGTGGTTCTGTGAATTCTGGATGACCGCCAGAGTTCTCAGTCACTCGGAATGCGCGAGAAAGGCGTACCGAGGTAGAGTGCTGAGCTTACTGTAGCTTTACCTCCAGGGCTCAGCATACGTCACGTCACGTGACTTTGTTGGTATATTCTCTCGATCTATCTTAGCTGGCGCTGCGATAATCCATAGTGTTTACACTGCCTCTGGCGGTCATCCAGAATTCACAGAACCACAGTTACATGCGTAACTAGCGTTCAAATGAACATTTTGGTGTTCAACTTTGCGTTTTACAAAAGACAACAACCGTTAATTTTTCATTTTGCAATTAGGCCAACGGATTAAATGGGGAAACGAATGAACACAAAAAGTAGACCGTTTGGACATAATACGAGGCAGAGTTCTTTTTTAAAATTCATAAAAGATACAAGGAATAGCCTACTAGACAAAACCTCAAAGAAATGCCACAATCAAGACCTCGGAGCAGAAATGAGGGAGTCTCTTTCCCTGCCATTAATGCTTGGATAACACGCATGTCCATAAATAGGCTAATAATAATGTCTAGTGCGGTGGCTGATAGACTACCAACGTTCGTTGCCATTATTTTTGGAATGACTTATTGCGAAAGGAAAAAAAAAGATGTTTTAGTCGCATAACATCGTTAATGGAAACGCTGTCATTTCACAATATTTTTTTATTGACATTCACAAAAAAAACGCAAAAGTTTTGTGCAAATATGTATTGACGCCACTTAACCGAGCAAAAAGGTTTCACTCGGTTATGCAATTTTAAACATGGACACCCCTAATAAAAAGTGAAATGTGCATCTTGCTTCAGATAATAACGTTCCATCACCGATAAACTCCGCCTTTTACCTTGAGCACGCCTCTAGCACGAGCTGGCCTGCTCTGGCCCAAGGTATTCGACGGGCCAGAAATCCTGGCCGTTGGCCCTGAGGAAGCCCCGATCAAGCCCCGGAAGTGACAGTGGAAATGCGACTGGCCCTGGCACACACTAGCACGGCCCGGCCCTGGCCCGGCAGTGGAAACGCGGCTATTGTGAAGTTGAGAAAACCCACAATGCCATAATTCTTAGATTTTACTGGCCTGGCATGGAACAGGACATCCGCAAGTGGGTAAGTTAATTGTGAAAAAAAAAAAAAAGTTGAAATGTTTTTTGTTTGTTTTTCTACATCTAACTCAATTATAATGGTCATGGCCCACTTCTCTTCTTTCAGATAGCCCAGTGTCCTCAGTGTCAGGCTAGGAAAAATACATTAAAGGAGGAGGCGGCTTACAATCCTATAGTTGTATGTATAAAAATGCAAATATAACAAACTTTTAATAGCCTTAGCCCTGAATGTTTAAAACATTGATTTTTATTTCAGGTCACAGAACCACTTGAATTAATTGGTATGGATCTTATAGGAAAGTTAACGCCAACTGAAAATGGGCACCAATATATTTGCGTCATGGTGGACTATTTTACTAAGTGGTCTGAAGCCTATCCTTTGAAAACAAAAAAAGCAGAAGAGGTCACGGGATGCATCCTAGACTTTTTTTTTTTTTTACAAATTTGGAGCACCACAGCGTCTGTTAACAGATCAGGGACGAGAGTTTGTCAACAAGGTTGGTTTAACAAATCAAGTCAAAATAAATGGATATTACCATAAGAAATATTTTAGAAACAAAGAAACAATTAACGACACAATTTTCCCCATATTATCTAATGTTTGGGAGAGAGGCACGATATCCATGTCAGGGACCAAAAGATTATGAGGTTAGTGGTTTGTGGCTTTTTTTTTTTTTTGCTGACACTTGATCTTTAAAGATGTGAATAATTATTGTGAATGTCTTACTTAGATCTGTCATGGAAAGGTGGAAGCAATGGTTGAAAGTGAGCAGCTGGCTGAGGGGTTGAGAGATCGGAGGGAGACAATGGAAGTTGACAAACAGAACATCACGAAGAGTCAAGAGAAAGTACGGAAGCGAAAGATGGAAAAAGGGCAGGAGGACAACTTAATGGCTGGGGATAAAGTGTTGGTTAGGAATGTGAGACAGGAGAACAGAAAGGGTGGAAAAATGGACCCAGACATGCTTGGTCCATTTACTATTATTAACATAGAAGGCAAAAATGTTGATGTGGTTTCAACCAAAGGAAAGAAAAAGTTGAAATTCAACTTGTATCATTTAATAAAGTATGTGGAGCCCGAGCCTCACATTCCAAAAAAATGGATCCCATCAACCCCTCTCAGTCCTCCTGCTCCTCCAGCCAATCCTCCTCACCCTGCCAAACCTCAATCACCACCAGCCAATCCTCCTCACCATGCAACACCTCCATCACCAGCAAATCCTCCTCACCCTGCCAATCCTCCTCGCCATGCAACACCTCCATCACCAGCAAATCCTCCTCACCATGCAACACCTCCATCACCAGCAAATCCTCCTCACCAGTATTTGTGAGGCTAACTACTTGTTTTTAAATGTGTATTTCTTTGTTCTTTATGTATTGTGTTTGTTTTAAATTGTCTGGTGCAGTGGTTGTAATTGTGAGCCCAAGACAAATTTCCCATTGGGACAATAAAGTATACCATACCATACCATACCATGCAACACCTCCATCACCAGCCAATCCTCCTCACCATGCAACACCTCAATCACCAGCAAATCCTCCTCACCCTGCCAATCCTCCTCACCATGCAACACCTTCATCATCAGCCAATCCTCCTCACCCTGCAAATTCTCCTCACCCTGCAACAATGGCACAAACACAAAACAACCCAGGCCCACCAACTACTCACTCTTGCTCCCCAGACACCTTCCCTGTGTCGAAATATCCAGACGAACAAGTGGTTCGGTTATATTTCACAGTGCCATTGCTCAGAATTTTACTTTGTATTCATTGTGCTTATTTTAGTGATACATGATATATGGGAGGGCAAGAAATAGAATGTGCTGTGGAGCAAAATGGGCCCCTACAAATTGTTTTCCAAAAACCTGATGGGTCTGGCACCAGGCAAATGGTTGGAAAGTGAGGTAGGGTTGCATTCTCAAATTGTATATGGTTACCTTTGTTTTGGTTCCTTGTTTTATTTTGATTCTTTTTGCCAATAGGTTGTGAATGGTTATCTACACCATCTTAAAAACCAATTAAATGTGTCAGGAATGAAACGGGCATATTTAATCGATTCATACCAGATGACTGCAATCTGGAATGGAAGCCAAAAGGGCTTGAAAAAGGTTTTTGCATTTAAACACAATCTGAAGTGTTTAAGTAAATTGACAGTTTTTAAAATCGCTATTGTATTGTTCGTAGCTTGATCCATCCAGCTATGACGTTCTATTCGGGGCTGTTTGTGTCAATGACAACGATTGGACATTTATAGTAAGTAACTTTCTAAATGTCTACAGAAGTAGATGCATGAATAGATGATAATGCAGATTTAAGATTATCTACTGACACTTAATGTTTGTTTTGTTTTTCAGGCAATGTTCCCAAAATTGGCAAAATCTATATATATTGACCCTTTTGGTGCTAATGAATCGGCAATTTCTAAGTGCAAGGATGCTACAAGGCAAGTATTATATGAAAATTGTATCTGTTGTATATTTTTGTATTGCAGCTTAATGATGAGTGCATTTGCACACTTTTATTTAATAGATCATTCATCAGGATGAAAGGTCTCAACATTTCCAGGTGGGGATGCCACTCAATTGTGCATCCTACCCAACAGGATTCCACATCATGTGGTGCATTTGTTTGCAAAGTAAGTTATATGTACTTGTATGAATTTTTACAGTCTTTATTGATAAAACCTAATTTATGTATGGCATAACTGCTTACATCAGCTAGCAGAGCTGCTTCTTATGGAGGAAGAGATTAAATTTTCAAATGAGGAAGGCGTGGTTTCACTGCGCCTGGAAATTGCAAAAAGGCTTTTAAGAGAAACTGGTGAGAAATAATAATTTGACAGAACGGGAGAAACACCGGTGCACAGATCTTCTAAGAGCAAATTTATTAAAGGTGCAACAATTGACTAACGTTTCGATGTACAACTACATCTTCATCAGAGTCAAATAATAATTTGAATTTGTATAGCTTTGACTACCTTAAGTTTTCTGGGCATGACATGACTCCTTCTACATATTACAGATGACCTTTCACAGCTCTGTCGTTCATGTGGAGAGCATCATAGGGACAAAGGCCAAACTGTGCAATGGGTAAGAACAATTTACAGTATAAATATGCATTGAAAACCACTCACGAACAAAATTCTAATGTTTGCTCTTCCTTTCTTAGATTGAATGTACAGAATGTGGAAGGTGGTACCATTGGGACTGTGTGGGTAGACCTTCCACTGTTGGCAAATACAGCTGCCCTGCGTGCTTGTAATGTTTTTGTCCTGCCTTTTTTTTCACCTGTTTTTACTGCTGTTATGTTAACGTTGCTAATAAATGCCGTGGGTTATTCACTGGATCCTACCTGTATGTCTTTAATTATAAAATTATATTTGCATAGCTATAGCTCATCACCTCTCTCCAATCCTAAGCAACATTTATGGAGTGTTGTATGTGCTTTAACTCATTCCTCAGTTTAAATAAATAAATTGACGTGTTTCTTTAACTAAATTTAAATTAAGACACAAACTAGGCATCACAAAATAATCACACACGCACTGCAAAAACAAAGCAAATACTTTATTTAACGTAGCCACTTACAATTGTCATTTAGATACGATTTCAATTGAAACGAGTGTAACAAAATGATATGGGCGTGGTCTGTGTTTCGTGACGTTGAGAAGAAGAAAAAACATAACTTTTCAAACGGCGTCTGAAACATGCAGCGACAGAGGATACAAACATTAATTTACCAATAATATGGAAAGCTTTCAAATCTGCTCAATGGAAAATTCGCTGTGACGAATCTGTAGCCGTCTAACATCTGCTGGAAATCCAGGTAAATCTATCTGCGTGCACGCGCGCGTCCCCAGTTAACATGATCCCCAGTTGATCTGTAACACCGGAAAAAAAACGAGTACTGCAGGATGGATCAGGGTCAGTGCCGTGAAATCCTCAGTAATGTTAGCTGTGACACAACTGCGGGCACGCTCGTCTTATCTGACGCGTTGAGCCTGGCCATCGGCCCAACTCGCCACAGCACAGACACTCTATTTCAGTTGGCATAGGTTGGCATATTCCCCCACATTCACACCACCAGTTCGTGTTGGCTCTCATCCTCGTCCTCAGGCTGTTGAGCGATCGCAACATCCTCCTCCTCTCGGTCGATTTCTAAAGCACGCAGCTCCTCTTCTGAAAACTCTGGTTCAACATTATGGCTCTGGCTCTTGACTGTCTGAGAAGTCTCCCTCTTCGTCTCTCACAAAATCAGCCATGTTCATCGCCAGTCATGTACTGTTAGGAAAATAGTCAGGTAGCTACTATTCAAGCCGGTATGTTTACGGAAGTCGTGCGATTTCATGTGTTGCGTGACGTCTCTGCGCCCATGTAGCAGTGATTCGCCTTAGCAACAGTGCTTCGCCTGTGCTTCCCCCTAGTCCCAAGTCAATATCTGCCTAGGAAATCGCTGAGTGTTAATCTGCGTCGCTATTTGTACTCGTTGTGAATACGCAGGCCACAAGAAGTAATTACGTGGGTTTGTTTATTTTTTTAACCACTTTTACTCAGGACATGCTAGCTGGCAACAAGGGAATCCATTCATTGTGCTAAGCTAAGCTAGCGCCGACCATGTCAAACTAAAACAATGCATGCACTGAGACAAAAATGAATTTGCACACATATCTAAATGTAGGAAAGAATGTGAATAAGCCATATTTCAAAAAAACAGTGGAGTTTTCCTTTAAATCTAAACCCAACTTTAATCACTGGTTGAATGAGGTGAATCTCTTGTGCAATTCTCTAAAATTAGTTAAAAATCAGAAAGCCCTTAAATTGATTTCTCTTTTGGATATGTTTAAATTAATTTAAAAGTCCCTTGTTATATTTATTTATTTATTTCCTTCATTGTATTTTTTTTGTATTGCTTTTAATTCTTTGTTTGTTCTAGTCTGTTTTTTTTCTTCCCTCTGTTGTGATGCTCAACTGTAGGCTGAATAATTGAGGTTATTTGCTGAGATGTGTTAATGTACCTTGTTGTTTTATGTTGTTGAAGAATAAAAAAAAAAACCTCCATTCATTCTGCACTCCGCCTGTGAGCGCCCTCAAATGGAACCAGAGTGGAACTGCAACAGTTCAGAACCCGGAAGTTTAATGTGAGTGGGAGTTCTCGTCATATTAGAGTTTCTCTGATAATGCACAATATTATGTATTGTAATAATAGTGTTCTGTTTTGTGGAGCTGACGCGCGATGGCGCTAAAGTCCATGAATGCTTTCACACGCGCCGCGCACCTCTACCACCATCACCACCACTTCAAGACAGTTGTTAAAATGATATGCTCACCGAGATTATCGCAGTAAAACAATTATTATGCATACATACGGACTGTAAAATATATTTACCTGCATAAACTGTCAACGTGAGGAATCAGCCATATATTTAACATATCAAGATGTTGGACGTCATTAATTATAATCTCGGTCAAAGAATGTGTATGCACTTGATCTGCACGGCATTTGACACTGATGATGTGAAATCAGTTGAAGCAAGACTGGTCGGGATGATCTGTCTCCACCACATACATTAATCTCAATTAGGCTATTATAATCCATCGCTTGAGTCGACACTATCAAGGTTTGCATTATTGTTCCTTCTACTGGTAATGCTTGGGAAATTATGCTACTAAAATGCTGAATTCCAGTCTGTACGATTGCTGAGTAACCCGAGCCCTGCCCACCGCGCTGTAGTAAAGCTGCTGCTGAGTGGAAGCAGCAGTGAGACGAAGGACGTGCATTTGCAATCTTTCGATTTCAACGTGATTAAACACATTACGGATTCGTGGCACACACTGCAGATTGTAGCCCCGAATGTACTGATGAAGAAATGGCAGCGGAATCGACCCGGAGATTTACGAAAAGCCTACTGAAGCCGGGAAGCGCCGCTGAGATACGGCAAACCGCATCCAATGTCGTAAGGAATGCTACTATAACGGTAAGACATTCGGACAAGGACATGGCTCCTTTTGCCTTATTTTGATGCTTTTTTGGTGGACGGACAAGACAGCGCGTACACCATTTTCCAGTGATTTGCGTAAAGAGAATCACACACTGTGCCTGGATCCCCGACCTAACGGTAAATAGAGGAAAATCTCGCTTTTGCCAAATATTGTATTTCGTTTTCACGCATGTAGTGAGGTCATGCCAGACTCATTCTGCGGCGAATGATTGTGGAAGTTGTAAATGAGCAAGGTGAGTGCTCGAAAATGACTGTATGTGGGCCATGGCCTCGGTTCATGTCTTGTTTTGGATCTATAACTATGTTCTTCAACAAATAAACAGCTCACTCACTGACGTTCGTAGTGAAAACGACGCTGCAGAGGAATGTAGTGCTGGGCTGTAGCAGTGAGAGCGGTTTGTAACCCTGGCTTTCCCTCTTTAGCAGTGCACATTTTGGACGTCTCTCTCATCTGACACACCCACTCCAGGTCTTGGAATTAATGATCAGTTGAATCCATAATCAGGTGTGTTTGATTGAGATGTCGTCTGAAGTGTGCAGTGTACTGGGGGCTCCAGGGCCAATGGTTGTTAATGAATACAGTGGCATGGATTGATGATATTAACACAGTATTATTGATTTGCAATATAGTTCTAGCCTCATTCATTAATGCAGTTACACAACAGAGAGCATGTGAATGCAATTACAAAACTTTAGTGCTGCTACTGCAACTAAAATTTGTAGTGTAGTAACTTATTTTTTGTCTTTTTTACACATTTGCACATTTATGTTTTGCTCTGTATTTCACTATACCATAAATGTATGTATGTAAGTTTTGAGTGAAAAGGTGCTGTATGGTGGTTTCACACTGTAGGATTGCAGAATGACTTAAAAGAGTTATCATCAAGATGGTCATTTTTTTTGTATTTCCATCCTCTGCCACGTTTGACTAATGGCACAAGCATTGTTTGAATGGGATTTTATTACCATAGATAGGCTACCCCTTAAATGTTAACATTCAATCAACTAGTTTGGACATTTTGTTTTCTTTCACGAGCAAGAACCACCACGCCACAACTGTGAATTTTGGAGTATTATTTATTGAAGAAAGTTGGAAATGGAAGGGGCAAATGGATGGTAGTCCGGTTGATTTGGGCATCTGGTGTTGGTGGCCGGGAGACTCAGAAAGCCCAGAGAGAGAGAAAAAAAGATTATTGGTAATTGTCTTCTTTTATTCTTTCCTTGACCATGTATCTAAAACATTACCAATCAGCAAATTATGTCCCCAGTGTACTAAAGGTAAACCTCTCCGCCAATAGGCTTCGATCACAATCAGCACTTTAGTGACTTTAGTAAATGCAAATAGTAAAATTTGTCAAATGTATTTTATGAATGTTCAACCCCACATTATAGTTTTTATTTTGGCTTTGTGTGTATGTTTGCATGAGTTTGTGTGATATCTATGAGAAATTTGAATACATGTGACACTGACTGGTGTTGCTCTGTCCATTGTTAAGGAAGGGAGATAACATAAGGTTACAACACAACTTTCTGAATCATTCATTTCATTTTATGAATGTCATTCCAGCAATAGCTACAAAACCAACATAATTTAAATGTTTATAAATGTCTTTATTAAAGGATTGTCACATTGCCAGTGACTGGCACTAAGTTGCCGATCCCTGATATAAATATAAAAGACAAAAACTCATACAGGGGCCTTTTTTGTCTCAATACCTCTTTGGGGCATTCTCACTGCATTCTTATAGCTTACATCACTTTTTGTTGGTTTGGAAATTTGAGTATTTCAGTTGTTTGTGCTTAAAGGGGCACTATGCAGGAATCCCGTTTTTGTTAAACAGCGACCCCTAGAGTTGCTGTGGAGTACTTAAATTTAACGTTACTGTTGGAAATACCACTCAGCGTGACATGGCGTATTACATAGTATACAATAGTACATTGTGTTTAATTTGTTGTTTAATGAGATCTTATATATGTTGTTAATGGTGAGAATTTTCACGTGATTAAATACATAGTTCCGATTATTATCCCTATGAACTTTAATGGTCCAGTGGCAGAACTTTTGCCAAGCGTGCCAGAGGTTCTGGGTAGTATACCAGGAGGTTATATACGGGTAGTTTATTTTCCTCATCAAAACCGATTGTTTATTAGTGGTTGTATTTCAAGTAGAGACACGTTTTTTTGTGCATTAGGTTTTGTGATTTCACCGTAACAAATATAGAGAGTCTCTCAGTCCCCACAACAGACTGAGGCGCGCGTCCATGTGAAGACAGTGCACGTCACAACAGAATACTGTATCCGCCTACCATTCAACTCGAAAGAAGTCATATAACCATTTCAAAAACTCTGAAGCTGTTCAGTTAAGCTAAAAAAGCTGTCCCTTTAAGTAGATTGGGGGGAACAACCCACTCCAGTGTCCAAAATGCAGCATATACTACATAGTGACCTGACCATGAGGGTCTTTTAAGAAGGATCTTCTCAGGAGTCTTCCAGTCTGATTCTGGAGCCGCCGCCTTTGATAGTTTGCTTTGTACATCTTCATTTTGTTTGGATGGATGTGTGTTGACACGAAGAACCAGGTCAGCAGAATCAGGCCTGGTGTGAGGCACCTTTTTGCTCTCTTTGCATTTTATCTTTCAAGTCTCTCTTCTGCTATTATGACTGACTTTGACCGCAAGATGTAGATTTCTCATTAGATAGCTTAAATACACCGGGTTTGAGTATTTGGCGGGGGGGCAAGTTGGTAACTAAACTCAATGCAAAAGAAGAGCAGTTCTTTTTATTTTCAAGCTGAACAGTTTCAACTGGTAATTGTAACATTTCAAACTAAACCATTACTGTAACTATAGAGTTGTGGTCAGAATTATTGGCACCCCTGATAAATATGATGAAAGATGTCTGTAAAAATGAACCTGCATTGTTTATCCTTTTGACCATTCATTCAAAAAAAATTAATTGAAAGTAGGGGTAAAATCACATTTTGAAAACACTGCTATAATTATTGTCCCTTTTTGCAACCTAGAAGTTTTCTCCTATATATATATATATATACAGTATATACACACACACACATACAGTATATATATATATATATATATATATATATATATAAACTGCTTAAATTCTAGAGTTTAAACCAGTGCTTTTCCTGGAGGATCCACAGGATGCACATTTTGAAAGTCTCATTTTTCTGACACTGATTACAGGTCCTGGAGTTTCTTTTAATGAGCCGATGTGTTGAGTCAGGTGTGTTTGATAGGGCGACAAAGAGAACGTGCAGTGTTGGGGGTCCTTCAGGAGCAGGGTTGAGAAACACTGGTCTAAACCAGCAGTTCTCAACTCTTTGCACATTTTGCATGTCTCTTTTATGTGACACATGTCGCTTTAATGAGCTGATGGTCTGAATCAGGTACATTAAATGATGAAGATATACCAAATATGCAGAGCAGAGGGTCCATTGTAGTACTTTAAGCAGCACTTCATGGGTTTTTACATATCGGATATCTATCTTGCAAATTGATGAGTTCACATCAACGAAAGCAGATATGAGTATTTTATTCATCATCAGCTAATTTGAAGATCAAAGACCACAGACGAAAGAGCGGCAACAGCATTGGTAAGATCATTGAGACTCATTACTTTTAATGAAGATGATTGTTTTTTGAGTATCTGTGACTTACTTTCAGTTTCACTTGCAGCAGTTTGTGATTTTGCATGCTGAAGAGATACTCAGCTCATCTGCAGCGATGTGTGTTGCAGAAATCTGGCTGTAATATTTCATATAGCCTATAACACACTCTCACATATTTATTTATTTATTTATTTATTTATTTTTTTTTTACATTTTTGGAGGAGTATAATTTACATGTGGTTTTAATAAGCAGATGCATTTTGTCCAGTTTCATCTATAATGCATCTCAGACCACCTCATGAAGTGGTTTGAGTGATCAGATTTTAATCCATCAAGTGTTTCAGAGGGCATTTATACCTAGTCTTTTCACGAACTAACATATCAGAGAAAACACCTGAAGTGACCAGGTATTGACCCCCCCTTTGTTCAAGGACTTCATATTCCATTTTCGTTCATCAATTCTCTTATACTACTTATACACATGTGAACTTACCTTACATTTACTGGAAATAAATGCAGCTGAAAGAAAGAGAATATTTCTTTCTCTGCTGAGTTTATTCCCAAATAAACTTGTATTATGTCAATCGATAGTTCAGTTTTAACTGTCAGATTTAATGAATCGGATCAAAACCTTTTTTTATTGTTAGAATTAAACAGCATTTCACTGGTTATTTTTTACTGTTCATGCGTTAAACATCTATTTAGCATCAGTGACTCTTTGGTGGAAGAGATGGTCCCTCTTGAAAATGACAACTGGACAAACAGCAAAAATAAGCCTGAGCCAGTTAAATACATATTAAGAAGATGTATTAAGTATAGCCCTTCTGCTTAGTGTCGCATCTGCGGTCCCCCACTGCAGGCTGTTTGCAGTTTTAGGGCCATGTGATAAGTCAGAGGGCACTCAGTGAGGTTGTATTTAAGGCTTTGTTTTGGGAATGAAGGCCAATAGAGCACATAACTGTGGGAATGAAAATGTTCTCTCTTAACCATAACATTTGCAGGAAGTCTAAATCTTGTCTATATTTTGTTTCTTTTTTTTAAAAAAAAAAAGACTTTTACTCAAGACTAATCTATACCTCCCAGTCCTCTGTTTCATTATACTAAACATTAACTTTATTCATTTATTTCACTTTCCAAAAGAAGAAAACAGAGTCTCGTAGTTTGAACTGCACTCTGAAGTCATACAGAAACTTCTTGCACTTCCCCCACTCTTCCCTGCCTATGGCACTTAATGAGAGCGAGGTCAACCTGGGTCGCACCCGGGGGTGGGGGATTTCTCTAATTGCTTACTGCTAGTTAACTGCAACTGTTTGGGTTCTTGATAAATTATATTATTTGAGTCAGT